TGTATGGACCAAGTGGGAGAATGTAATCATTATTATTAAATATTTTATTTAATAATTATATAACCATTCACATTAAGTTCATCATTTATTATAATCAATTTCTTGTACTTTAAATATTTCAATTTTTCATTCTAAATGTAACCATTATTATTAAAGATTTTATTTAATATCATTAAAATTCTTAATTATGGTTCAAATGTTACAAATTTGAATTAATTCTTAAACGTTATGAGTTGATGATAATAAATGTTCTTGATGGGAGAACATTTATATAAATGAGAGTTTTGGTCCTTGGGCTCAATACCTCTTTCAAGTCTAAAGGATTTCCTACACCATCTAAAGCGAGAGTTCTGAACCGAGATGTGCCAAAATTCAAGAAGAAACCTTGCTAAAATTCTTAACAACAATGGCTGGAGGTACGCAATTTCGTTTCTACATTAGTTTTTTCTTATATTTCTATTATAATGGTTTAGAAACATATTTGGGTATCAAAATTTCTAATAGAAACATCAAACGAAAACACTAACTTTAGGGAGCTTTCTTTAAATAGAGATCGAGAATATGAACTCTTGTAGAGGCAAGAGCAAAATTATGGCATTCCTTTGTTTTCTTATTCTAATGGAGTAGACTCATCTTGCTTGATGCTAAAATTGAAGGGGCTTTAAGGTATATGCATCTTATCTAAGTGAGATAATTAATGAAGGGGCTAAAGCTAGAGATTGACTCAACTTACAAGAATGAAGTTGGAGTCGAAAAGCCTTGGCATGGGACAAGAGGCTGAATAGTCTAATACTCTTGAAGAATATATAGAGTATTGTAATTTAAGTTGCCATAAAGAGAAGCTATATGCAATAAAGGTTATGTTAGGGATAGAGGCTTAGGTTCTAAATAATGACATATTAATTTTTAGAATTTTGAGAATTACTAGTAGATATATTAACCCAAAGCTACACTGTTTATGAATGAAGGTTGATTGCCAAATGAGCAAACATGGTCAAAAGTGAAAAGGTTGTATGGTGTGTTTGTAAAGGCCACATAAGTAGAAGTCATGGTTTGAACTCATCACACCAAGATCAAAGTGTGATAGAAACATCATAAGGAGGTGACACAGTATAGCAGATCATGGTAGAATAATTTCAAATAATGTGACTTAATAAGAAAGTCTTGTGTAAGACTTAATCATCTAGAGAGATGATTAGAGCTATTGGAAACTTGACTTTAGCGAGCAACTTGATGATAGGAAAGACTATTTATTAACTTAAGTTGTGAATATCATAATACTACACAAGTGGGTCTTTTATACATGAATAAATTTTACATTGGATGAAAGCTTTAAACATCAGCATATATGAACTATATACTATAGAGGTAGATCTTTCAAGTACAACTACCAGTGAGTCATACAAGGGACTTGATCATACAGATGTATAATTAGAGCTATCGGATGGTGGATTACTCCAAAGCTAATATTCGCTCAGCTAATATTCGCTCAATGGAGTTTGGTAAGTCAGTGAACAACGCCAATTGAGTAAATATTGCTACCAATGATACAAAGGAGAATAGAATTAATGCAAACTCTATAACATAATGGGGAAGGCAATGCATGAGAGTTATAATATGTCTTTCCATCGACTAGGGGTGAACTACTTATAGAACATAGAGATGTTAAAATAGATGACCAAAAGGAGTGAGAAAACAATGATTAGTTTAAAGAGACTTAGCTACCCAAAACTGAGGGACTAGTGTATAATAAGGAATATCTTTTTTTCAATCCGAAGGATCTATATGTACTAATGAAGATCAACACAACTTAACTAATTCCACACTAGAGTTAAGAGTCATTGAAGAGTTGAAAGCAGATCAAAGTTTTATTACTTAAGAATAATAATATATAGTAGTTGGAAGATGGGAGGTGCTTTATAATGAAAGCAAATAATTGAAGATGCAATGCATATAAATGCTTCGATGAGGATGTTTAAGGAATAAATGAGGAAGAATATCATAAATAATTTGTATGTAAGGTTTTCAATGTAATATATGTGTATGTCTATGCTTTTAGATTTAGTTCATATTTTAAGCAACATTTAAGAGGATTATAGTAGGCTTGGTAGACCCATTTTAGTCGGGTTTTGTGGTAAACATAGCATGTGTTTGATCATCGCATAGAAGCAAAACTGTCCAAAACAAAAGCCTCTAGCCAGCCATTTTGGGGGCTTTCTATGAGTAGAGTGTAGCTAGAAATATCAATTATTTCAATACCATAGAGATGCTCGAGTAACTTTGTGAGGACTTTTGGGTGTAATGAATTACTTTGGATCCTTTGTTATACGAACGTTTAAAGTTCATAAAATTTATATTTATAGTTTGTATTATCTACCAAATATTTGCTTATAAAATCTTGACTTTAATGCTTCTATCAACTCATTTTCTGGACCCCATCATTTTCTATTTTACATGTCTCTAGGGGATCCTATAGTTACGGGATGACTAACCTTTTATAGATAGACACAGGGATTTCGAATAACCAAGGCAAAATCAACTAAGCTCACGATAACATAATAAAAATTTAATAATAAATTTTTTTTGGGTGAATTATCTTAAAGTAATATAATTTAGAGATTTCTATTTACAATCTTTTTTGCTATTTACAATCTCATTTTAAGTTTTGTTAATATTTCTAGGATATCCTTAATATCTCTATCATCTTTTCTTTTTTCCCTCTTCTTAATAACAAGCAGCGAGCGACGAGTAATCGAATGGTATTAACTTATTATTCTGCTTCCTCTTTCATATGCTCATATTCTTCTTCCTGACTTGATTCTACTGTGCATATATAACATAAACCACTAAAGAAGTAGGATTATCCCGACCCGTGGGTTGTAAAAAAAGTTTGAGTCGACTTAAATTTTAATCAATCTGCAGACAGGTAAATGAAGTGGTGACTCCTTTCTTGCCCAAAAAAGAAAGTGGTCACTCCAATGGTGGGTCATTGTTGGGTCGAATTAATTCGATTATATATTGGCAGCAGCCACACTGACAGCTAGTGGGCAAGAAAGGTATCTGGTAATAATTGTAAGAAATTACTGTAGCTAGTTCTTTGTTTTATATACTAATATACATGTATATATATGGTGTTCAAGCAATTGCAGTATTCTGTCAAGTAAGATGCAAGCAGTTTCTAAAGAAGACTATTAATTAAATATATGTGCACACTGAATTATTACACGCTTTCGTTTGGTCGAGGGTACCGACGCAAATAATAAACGTCAGCAGTGCTGTAAGCCTGTAAGGGTTTTGGATTTCCAATTTAGGTCTCCGCTGCTGTCTTCTGGTAAGTCATGATTGATCGAGCAGCACAATAATCTCGACTGCTTAAATATTTAAATAGCATTTTCATGTTGCATCGGTCAACTCTAATTGTGGTGCAGACATTGAAGAAATATACCCAATCAAATGAACGGCTACGTAGTGTATTTGATAGCATGGGAAGGAAGAATATTGTGTCTATGGAAATCATGATATCTCAATATATAAATAAATAAATAAATTTGTTTAAATAGAAGAATGGTTGTACAATATATAACGATGAGAAATACAATCCTCCAAAGACATGCACGAGTGCAACTCTTGCTATTACTACATCTGATTCTCTATCAAACAACTGCTTATACCATCATCATCATGTTTCTGAACTCGTCAAAGCTCAACACTCCATCTCCATTGAGATCGAACCTGCAAATCATGGTCCTGCACTCGTCGATGCCCCTCGACGTGCCCAACCGGCTGAGCATCCTCTTCAGGCTCCCTGGTGTAATGCAGCCGTCGTCCCCTTCATCTTCATACATCTTAAACGCTGCTCTCAAATCTCTGTCCCTCTCTTCCTCCCCTTCCACCTCCACCAACTTCACAAAATCCTCCAAATCTAACAGCCCATCCCCATCGCGGTCGGCTAACTCGACGAAGGCCTCCGCGTCCTCCAGCGACAGCTCCTCGCCGATGTTCCTCATGCAGGCTGTTAGCTCCGCGGCTGAGATCTTCCCGTCTCCATCTTTATCGAAGGAGTGGAAAACTGAATCGAGGTCGGTCACGTTTGAGCAAGGGGACGCCATGGTATCTTGAGAAGAGAAGATAAGCCCCTAGTCGAGAGGCTTCTCTGTATTTATAGTTGTGGAGAGCGAGAAAACATGCGTATGCCATGGTCTGCAAAGAAGTTTCTGGGTGGGTTTGAAAGAAAGACGCGTCTGCTAGTTGAACTTCATGTACATGCGCAAGGAATTTGCTGAGAAGCCGCAGAGCATTGGAGAGAAGTTTCTCGATCTGGTGACAAAGTCGGTTAACTAATTTGGTAGGCAATAGCTTAACATCGAGCCGCTCTTTTGTTCCCGCACGTTTCTCCCTCGACCGCCATACTTTACGACGACGCGGCGGGGGGAGTCCTCTGGACACGTCGATGTGGCTCTGCCTGTCGCTCCACGCGAGAGAAGTCAAGCCATTGAGCGAGTCCACGGAGACGATGTGCCTGTCGACAACTCGGTTCACCGTGGACCACAATCTTAAGTCGAAACGCTGGTATATGCGTGTGTCGCGTCTTTAGGACGCGACAAGTCGAAATTAGTTTTTATTTCCAGATATGTAATTGTGACGCGTATTTAGTTGTACGTAAATATCACCAACAGCGATGACGATGACAGGCATCATCGTTAGCACGTTGGTGATGCAGACGACGTCTGCGAATCACTAAGGTCTCTCTCAGCGCAGCTGCCGAGGAGGCTAATTTTTAGATTGATAATTATATTTTATAGGATGACAGAATCACATCAAGTGGCTGTAGTTTAGTGGTTAGAATTCCACGTTGTGGCCGTGGAGACCTGGGCTCGAATCCCAGCAGCCACATTTTTTCCTTAATTATTTTTAATTTTAATTATCTTAACTTTAAGCCAAAGTTAATCACATCGCCTGTTCCCTTTTACATTCTTCATCGATCTCTAATTGTTCTTCCCCTAAAGCCACAGCCACCCCGCCCTGCACGGTGGGCAGCTCGTGTGAGCCCTTGACCACGCGTCGACGCACTCACACACGAAACCCATGTCTACACAGCTGGGCAACACCTTCACCTTGTCTCCGTCTCTCAAGTTACTCAGGCAAATGGGGCACTGCGCCTCCTCGCCGGTCCCTGACGCTCGGTGCAAGTGCACCGGGAAGATATCGCTGATCTGCGGACCGAGGCCAGATGCCGGATGCGAAGTCGCAGAAGGTGACATGCTCAATGAGCCCGTATCGGCTGCCAAACGGCGGTAGTGACACGCCCATCTTTCGTACGTACAGGCAGAGGAGGATGATGCATAAGAGGATGGAGAAGGAGGAAGGTATTGTGGCCATGGACGCGGTAGTTCTTGTCGTCCAACTCGTCGTACTTCCAGTGGAAGGGTTGAGCCTCCTGGGCTGCCATGAATGCAATGATCAAGTGGCAAGTGCTGTGATAGTGTTTCGGCCCATGCATTCTTCCCACTATTCACGAGTATCATTATGTATATGCACTAATGGTAAGATATATCCACTCATGGAACAATCCCCACTACAACGGACTTCCTCTTCTCAACTACTAATTTCGAATAAATTGTTGACATTTATAGGTTGTATATAATGTTAACATAACTATCTTAGAAAATGTTAGGAGCAGTTTAGACAATAAATTATATGAATAGGATTCTCAATTAATAAGATTATGGAGAAAACAAAAGATGATATTGTTGTAATTTTGAGATTGAATGAGGAGAATTCAATGATAGATCATCTTCTTCCTCGTCTTTGAAATCTAATTTACCATATTAATGATGTAAAGTACCTAATTTTTATCATGTGATATCAAAGCCAGAGTTCTCTCTTTATCAACCTTGAGACTAAGTTCTAAGGAAGAACAAATTCTTGGGAAAGATTGATGAGCAATAGCAATTCAAATCTCAATCCATAACATGTAAATGTTTAAATTTTCAATGGTAAAAACTATGATTTCATTTATGAATATGAGAATTATGCTTCTTTCACTTGATCTATGGGTTGTGATTGAGAATGATTATGATGATTTTGATAACATGGGAACCAAGATAAGTGATCAAACAATTACATTAAAAGAAAAACAATAAAGAGAAAATATTAGTAAAAGTCTTTCTAATGTAATCTTACCAAGAATTATGAGGACTACAACAGCAAAAGATAAATTCAATGAGGTATGAAAGTAAGAGATGTCAAATTTTAAATGATAAGAGATTTAAAGAATATGAAAATAAAAGATAATGAGATATTGAATGACTTGTAAAAAAAACCTATGAAGTTGGTCAACTAAATGAATTTTTATGGTGCAGATATTAGTGATAAGAGATTTGCAAGGAAGATCCTAATTGGTATCCCAGAAAAGTTTGATCTCATTATTGTAGTGATTGAAAAAACCAATGACTTCTCTATATTATATTGGAAGAATTAATGAGTTCTATGAAAAATTATGGACAAGATTGATTCAATGTTGGTTTCAAGAACATTAAGGAGAAATCAAATGACCAATCACAAAATAAGAAAGTAAGAAAGAGGAAGAAAAAGACGAAAAAACGCAGCATTCGACACTTATTGTAATGCTCATTTGGGTAATATAACTTAATAACACAATCTGGGACTACAACTTTGAAGTTCACAGTCAAGTAAATTCCTAATGTTTGCGATAAACGACATCCAATGTATGATCAGCCGGCTTTGACTTGGGGTCTTAGACATATTTTATGTTATACTTAGCCAAATTGTAGATATTATGGGGCTCATTGTTTACTTTTGCATGGAATAGTTTATGTGTTTATCATCATCACTGGGCTTGCATGTAATTCATTTTGTTTTGATACATAAACAAGTTTATTTAGATAGCAAAAGAAACTAATACCGAGCCGCGAATTTAAAAAAGCCAACATAAGATTAGATGGATTGTACAATGAAGTTATTGCATTTGGTAGGATAAGCAGGCCTAAGGGTGGTCAGCACTGTTGTAGGTTGTTCTTTCAGACCAGAAAACAGAAGATTAACCAGATGGGAGGACAAAGTGCATGATGGAGATCATAGATCAATTCATAAGTGTATAGATAAATGCAACTTAATAAGAAAAATTTAGAAATATTCTGCACTTGTGCTAGCTAGAGAAAGTACAATATTCAACCTGACTCAAGGAAAGTACACACTAAATGGTGAATTCTGGTTAGTCTTAAGGAAGAGTTGAGATTGATCTTGCTAAGCTAAAGTCCTCACCACAAGAAGCTCCCTTATAAACCTCCTCCACGAGAAAGGTAGCTAGTAATCATTGTCTCCTCTTGTATTAGTTTGATCATTCTCATGCGAGTAGACCAACCAACCAACCATTCGTTTGGCACGTAAGCTGGGAAATCTCAACACCAACAAATGACCATGTCTATATATATATATATGTGTGTGTGCACGCTCGTTTGTATGTCTGTGAGAGGGAGAAAGATTTGTTCTTTAGCTTCGTGAGAGAGGTTGATAAGAATCCAGTTTCATGCATTAATTTTCATGTCCTGTTGTATAAATTTGCAACAAGCAGATGTTCGTGACATATCAGAAAAGATACACTTGAGGATGATTGATGCAGTCACGTTAGATCTGACCTGTAATAACAACTTAACATTTCTTGGATTAGCCTTCGGATGTTTCATCAAATACCCTGTCAGTCAACGGAAGCATTTCTCTTGGGTGTTCCAGAACAAATATGCAGTATCGACGTAATACTAGATGAAGAAGATAACACTCGTGCAATGTACTGAATCAAATCAGCTCAAAGACATTGTAAATTATATAAGCCCATCACATGTGAGATTAAAGATATTAAACCACTACCAGAGCAGGTGTTTAACGCATTTGGAGAGACAATGTACATGCTACATAAGATAAAGATGAAATGCAACTTCGTGCGTAAGATGACATTTCCAGTTGAGGGGTTCTACGTAGCCTTTCATTCTCTCATGTTGAGAAAGTACATCTGGTGAAAAGGATCTCATACTAATGCTGGATAGTTCTGATAGCCAGAGAATGAAACAAGTACAACTACACTGATATTTCTCCATTTCCATGCCTTCTATATCACTCACTGGGTCTCCCCACGCTTTGACCATTCTAACAAGATGACATTTATGAGAAAGAGTATGATGACCTTTCTATACGTGCTTATATCTTAGTTAGAGCTCGAGAGAGATGGATGAGTCATAACCGATCGATCTAGTAGATGAAGCTTCCATGGTGGAACATTTCGTCTTCTCCTTCCTGGAAAGAGCAGTATGGGAAGGCGGAAAAAGACTGCTGCGGAGGTGCTGTTGAGAAACTCGACATCTGGTCGTTAGGAAGCATCAAACAGGGAGTGCTACAACTAGCATCGACGCCGGCGTTGATAGTAGCAGTACCAATAGCGTTAGCGTTAGCACTTAAAGCAGGCGATGAGAGGGATAACAGGGAAGAGCAGTCGTCAGGATGCAGCATCAGCGCAGCCTGATGGAGCCATATCTGAGACTTGAGGAACTTGACGTAGTTTATGGCCTCCTCAAGCATCGACACCGTGTCCATCTTGCTTCCCCCAGGAACCAAGCTCTTGAGAATCTTGAACCGGTCACTGATTCGGTGCCTCCTTTCCCTTGCTGCGACACTCTGCGGGTCCGTCGACAACTTCACCCCTCCCCCTCTCTTCCCACCTCTTCTCCTCTCCTTGGTGATGAAGCCAAGAGAAGAGGTGGGCTCTCCCTCCGCCACCCAATGGGAGGTCGCAAGAGGAGGACACGAATCGCTCGGCTGGTAATGATAGCTTTCCATAAGCTGAAAGTGGCTGTCCGCGAATGGATCCATCCCTGTAGCTCCTTGGGCGATGGGTGCGGTAGCTTGTGGAAGAAAACTAAGGCCTTGTTTGAGTCATATATAGAAGAAGGGAGGAGGAGATGGATGCATCACCAAAGAGTGAGTGCAGTAGTCATGTATGAGTCAGTGATATCTGGCACCAGACATGGATGACATCTACGGTTGGACAGACAAAACCCTAGGGTTTTGGTGGTGCGATGAGCGGAGGGGAGAGAGAGGTTTTAGGGTGTCAGTGGAAGAGGAAGAGTACACCTCGTGTCTTCATTCCTTATGCAATTATACTGATATGATATGATAAATGTTAACAAAAGAAAGATAATATAAATATTCACAGATCTGGTGATATGATATAATTTAATGGGTTGGTCTCGAGTTTTCATTCACTGGTACGGCTGACGCACCAACACGGCCCCGAGCTCGTAGGCAGCACGATCTGTGACAGTGTTTAAGGTGACTTGTTATATTCTGGTTTGGTACCCTGGTATTCTTCCCAGATTTATGTTTGAAATGTGCATCCATGATGCGTCCCTGTGTGCATGTTTGAGCTGAAACATTCTTCAATGAACGTGTACGTATAACCAGACGTTGGCAAGGATAAGTCCCACTCAAATCTGCCTTTCCTTTATGCGTACGCACCTCTCTCGTGTTTAGACATCAAAAACAAGCAAGCAGGATTTATTTGTTCACGATTTTCTCTTCTTTTAATTAAATTACTCAAACTAAACTAATCTGGACGTTTATGAGCTTCATTTCGATTCCCCGTTCAGCAGCTGAGCTGATTCATTGGTTCTGAATACAATTTGCACCCACATGATTAAAATAATGGATCGGAAATCGACATTTATGTAGTGGTTGACAACATGTTCGTAGGAAGAACAGAAGAAGATGTCGAGGATCAGAATCGATTTCTTAGGTTCTTGGTAGCATGGCAGGTATACAATATAACGATAGAGCCGCACGGTGCATAGCCAACCTTATCCCGTGAAATAAACTTCCATATTTGGACTTATATTGCACATCAGATGATCTTGTTCGCTGGCTGGGTTGTCAGGAGCAACGCAAGTGAGTCGTCACCTTTATCGTCCTCGCCCTCCACATGACAATATTATACAGAACAGATATCATATCGGCTCAGGGCGTTAAACATGATGATGATGATGATGATGGTGGTGGTGGTGTGATTGAATGTGATGTGGAAGCTGCGAGAACTGTGTGGTGCTCGCTGTAATAGAAGTCTTATTTTTGGTATATGGAGTCGAAGAAGGAAGTGGGTGGAGGAGAGGAGTCGCTGGCGGTCCGTCCCAAGTCGAACAAGAATACCCATCGGTCCTCTGCGTTGGGGGTAGCAAGGGGATAATATGATACGAGAAGAGAGGAGGACAGAGGTGACGAAACAAAACACTACTCCGCTGTGTTGGCTCAAAGGAGAGAAGGCTGCAGATGGATGGAACAGTGTGATTGGATTTGGCTGCTGCAGCTCCGGTACCACTTCTGGCAACGTTACTGGCTGCCACTCTCCTCGATGGCTTCGTCTTCTTTCCTCGGCCGGCTTTAATG